CACCATTACAAACTTTACCTGCTCATAAGTTGCTTGTGAAATGCAGGTTGCAGTTTTGCTATCTATATTTGTAAATAACCTTATAGACTCTATCGATCTACCCAGGTCTCCATTCAAAGTTCCATGGTAAGTTGGCGGACTTCCCTGGTAAGTTATTTTTTGGCGCGTCTTCGGTAAGGTCGTGTTCATACTCCGCGATATTGGAGAATAGAACAATGTCTGGATCTAGAAGAGTGCTCGCCAAGGAAAGAATAGATATCGATCTGGAGCATCGGGCATGATCGAATTGGAGGATGTGCGCCAAGGGGGCGAGGGTAGACGAGAATCGATTCACTCTAATTTTACTAGTTCGTGTTCCACCAGTTCGCTACTGGACGAAGTTGATGGATCCCCGTTCAGACCTTGACGCGTGTTCCGCGATTCACGTGCAGCGAAATACGAACAAGGCCTGGAGCGCGTATGTAGTAGATTGTTTCTAGCTGCCGTACCATAGGGGCTTGGAAATGAGGGTACCTTCTCAGTAACTAAAAAAAATTGTTTTCTGTTCTACCCTGTAAACTCCCAGTCATTTATTTGTTTTGCTGCGTTTGGTCAGTAGGTTGTATGCAGAAAAATTGAATATCTTGTCATCAGCTTTGGAACTATTCGTTATTGATGGGGAGGGTATTGGCAATGTTTGCCTGAATTTCACTGGATCATTTCAGTATTGAGCTATTTATTGAGTTGCAGTGTTAAGTTTTTTTTTAGAATCGCCTTCATCATGCCTTAGGAATGAATCAGTATCTCACAATTGCCGTGTCATTACCGTCTGATATCAAACACTTGAATTTCGAGTTCAAGTAGGTAATCATTCCTGTTTGGCCCTCCTTTCTAAACACTTGACCCGATTTGGATGATATGTGTACTCCTTATCCCTGAGACGGGGTAGGCGTGGCATTCGAACATGGCACAGAACTGGTTACTCGTGGGATATTTCAATTTGAGACAACCGCCATCTTGTTCTTTGTTGGACAGAGACGTGACCACATTTGGGTCAAAATGAAAATATCTCTCCAAAAGCATAGCCACCACGACGTTTAGTTGAAGTACGCAGCCACGCCTACCTCATCTCAGGGATTTCGAGTGTATATATATCGATTTCCATCACATCGATCATCACAGAATCGATAATGTATCCATGCGTGATCTGGAAACCAAACTGGGTGCTGGACGCATTGAATTTTCGCAAGAGGTCAGATTGAAGTTGTCGCTGACCGACAAATTTATTCAGGTAAGTGATGTTTCGAGATATTTTCTCTCATTTGCTTGGATTCTTATCCTTGGAGTCAAGAGATCAAGTCATCCTGTAGCTCAGGGTGAAATCGTTGAGTTTTTCGTCTGTGCTGAAAGTGGTTTGTTTATTGTTCATTTTGGAGGGAATTCAATAGGCAGGGTTGACCTCAAGTCTTCCCTTGACGGTCGTTAGGACTGCGCTTCTAGCTGCAGTGAGGCGTAGAAAGCAGCACAGTGGTTTTCCATCCAGTTAACTTGCAAAATGCATGCAGAAACACCCCGTCAAATTGTTTCGGTCCTGACGCGAATGCCGCGCAATTTCCGCCATCTGCAACGCCGGTCTCACCGTAACTATGAAGAACATGGCCTGTACCCATTACAGAACTACAGTTTTAGAAAAACAAACCAAAACAGAAAGTAACGTCTTGTTGACTGTGATCATGGGGCGTGTCCGTGCATCTGCGCTTGGCATATCGGCAACCCTTTTTTCGGCAAACGAGAAGACTGTCATGTCGCTGGTATCAGTCGTTTTCCACCGATTGTTGTCGCTAACTTCTTTAAACAATTGGTGGAGAGTGGATCTGGTGGCGCGCCAAAAAGCCGCGCGAACACGCCCACTATCTACAGCGAACCAGACTTTGAATGCTTCGGTTCCGTGAACGTACACAGTTATGTACACCATTTGAAGCACGTTTATCAGCCTGTTGGGGAGAGGAATTTCAAGCTATACGAAGGAGTAGTAAGTGCCATGCTGTTAATCACATGAATTACAGGCTTTCCTAGACCAAGCTAAGAAGAATCCTCGATTCCACAATTATGTCAAAGAGGTTTGTGGTTGAAGTAATTGCAGATCACAGTTGGGTGATTTTTATTGTTCGATGTACTTGTTTCGTTGGACAGTTGACTCGATTTTAGGAACTTGACTCATGCCTTGGATGCTCGGAGAAGTTGTCCAATGTTAAACTGTGGAGACAATGTCACGCTATCGATATTAATCTGGAAATAGGCGGTGAAACATCAAACTGTACTCCGTGTCATTGCCGTCCTATGTGGTGAGCTTTTGCGTAGTAATAAAAATCGCCATAACTTACAGTAACGGCAGTAATTCTTTTCCGTTTTCCAGTATAGGGCTTGGAACTTCTGCAAAAATGCGCTGTAACAAGGAACCAGGGCGTGGCTCAATAGTTTTAATATGAGACCGCAATTGTCTACAGACGTTATCGCCGGACAATACTGATCCGTTACATGTTAGGACCCGTCGACTCATGCTTCTGGGGGAGGGGGGGGGGCGCTAGAAAACTGCCCGGTGGAAAAGCGCTGGTGGGCGTGGCCGCGGCGTCGCGCCCGTAAATGCCCCAATGGTCCAGGCGACGATGTAACGCGCAGCGATCTGCGCAACATCTTGGTTAATAGTTTCCGCAGTAACCAGGGACCATTGCATCTGCGTCCCCTTCAACAAAGATACAATGCATTGCCAATCAAGACACCGCTCCAGACAGATGTAAGAATTAAATCACACTGTGAAGAATACAACTATACATTCACAATATATCAATATTGCTCTCGAGTAAAGGTTTTGCGTATGCTTCGCTCGTAGTGATTTAATTTTTGAGGTGTGTGTCATGCATGGCTCGGATTTTTCTCGCTAAACAAGATCAGTCTCGACCTGCATCATGGCTTGAAGGAACATGCTCTTGTCCTACCTGCAGGTGTGCACTTTCAATATGGTTGTGACAATTTTGCCATAATATTTCTCTTCTCGTTGTTCATTCTTTGAAAAGATGAGAAAAAGAGTGTGTTGGATTGGGCGTTCATCACTTAACGGGGCAGCGTGAGCGACTAAGGTACACGTGTAAGTATCCGCTCCAGCGTGTTGAGCACCTGCAAGCGTTTTGAGGCGTTTACTTAACTGTTTTGCCACTTTTGAGGCGACCTACTAAAGTAAAAGGTTTAGATTGTCGCTGAGGAACTTGGTTCTACGCTCATGAGCACTCGACAGACGTCAAACAACTGGTCGATACCTAGTACTGAATCGCACATTCCTAAAGTCGGCAAAGGGACGCTCAAACGCCGTCGCAAAGCATGAATGGCACTCTTGCTATAAAGAATTACCTCCAAAAATATACAGGATGAGAAGGCGCTAACCATTTTAGCATGGTCTCGTATTATCAGGGCAATCTTTTGCTAGTAATAGACGTGGCGCTCCTCTCGTACATTTTGATAAGGAGGAAGCAGCGAGAAGGTGGGATCAATTGGCCAAGCGAAGAAGAGTTAGAATCCATTTTTGTGCTAGCTTGATTTTATCTATGGGTTGTGTAGTCAACCCTACGTATACGGTTTTGCTTCAATTAGTGCCACAAAGGTGTGAGTACAGGGATTTTAAGTAAGCACCGATTTTCCAGCAGGCTCCAGTTAACCTGTAAACAATGTTCCGTTCTTGTTGTGTTAGTATTAAGTTTGTTGCAGTATTGAAGTGAATCTCCGAGTAATTTGTCCAAGCTTTCTCATAAGAGTTTCAAATGAAAAGCTAAAAAAAGTTAAGTTTTAGGGATGGTTTCGTTTGCATGGCATATATAGGGGAGGTGGGCTGAGTGTGCTCGGCACATTTCAGGGTTAAATCCCTACTGTTGTATGTAACTCTAATGAGCACTTTGTTTTAAAGCTCTCTAATGCCCATGTATATCTGAAACGTACGCATAATTGTTTTATGAATCATGATCCGGGTTTAGAGTGATATTTATGGTTTTTAAAAGTGCCTCTGTCTCATCACTTGCCGTTTTAGCTGCACTTGTATTTTCTTGATAGTTTTACAGTGGATCGAATATATAGAATTCTAAATATATCAGATTACAGCATAGCGTTTTGCCTTGTATATTCCGAGCCTTTGCATTTTTTATAGCCATATTGTATAGATGTAGATTGGATCCATAAAGGGGCAAATGAATGAATATTTATTCAGATCGATATATGCTGATTATTTCTTGGCTTCTTCATTCTCTTGCGCCGGTCTTAAGTGCGGTGGCCCAAAGAGGAAGCCGCTATAACGTGGCTTCCTCTGAGTCCGCTGTACATCATTATGGTGCTCTACATACGGGGGGGGGGTCGTATTCGGTTTCACGAGAGTTTCTTCCTGCTCTGTTTTTTCCACTTTCACGCACGCTATATTCCATTTTGGGCGGCAGAACTACAATTTATGATAGGTGGTTGAGGCTGTTTAGCCCCGCCTCCTGCTCAACGGGATAAAATTTTGGAGAAAGCGACAGGCATGTGGCAGGGTATGGATCGGAACGCTGTCAGGGTGCCTTCTCCACTTGTGGTGACATACTAAATTTGCAATAATTTTTCGAGTAACGAATAAGACAGTGCTGCAAATCACGCCCCATCATTCACAGGGATCACCGCTGCAGAGTGTAGGGGGGGGGGCGTACTGACACCGCCATTTCACCAACGCCGATGATGTACCCATCAGACTCACCTGACTGCCTGCAATTCTTTGCCGCTCACTTTGATGATTTTGTGAGATATTCTCCTCGGCACTCAGCTGGTTGAGAGATTTGCAAGAGCTGGACCACAGGACCGTTGTTCGACTTAGACTGAAACAGATATTTTCAGAGGTAGTTTCATAAGGAGCAGGTTCATCTGAGTTGACGAAAATGAGGCTGAGCCGATGGAAATGCGGAAGCAACACTATGTGCACAAAGGAAGTAGTCGCAGTTTTCAAAACAATTGTCATGACCCAAAATGACGCCATGTGAATGTAACTAAGTTGTAGGCCCCCAAAGAACGAAAAGTTATGCACAACGTTGCGTTCATACTTCGCGGCTGCCTCCACCAGCGTTCCGAGCGTCCGGCAGCGTCAGTGCCTAGAAGAGCATAGATATCGATCTAGCGTGTGCCAGCGTCTATCTGCGTCTCGAAGGCCTTAGAAGTATAGATACTGATCAACTGGTAGAGTATGGGAAGATAGCAGGGTAGTAGACTGCTCGTAGATATATAGTATGGCGCGATAGGAGGGTACCAGCTGTTTGCTACTCTCATATCACGCCATACTCTCCTCTCCCGGACGCTGGTAGACGCTGGTGCACCTTGGCAGGCGCTAGATTGGTACCTATACTTCCTAGCCCTCGAGACGCTGATGGATACTTGCAGGCGCCTGCGTGATACGCGGAAGGCGGCTAGTCAGACGCGCAGATTGATATCTATACTTCCTCGGTCGCTGACGCTGCCAGACGGTCGGGACGCTGGTGGACGCTATTGGTCGCTTGTGGACGGCCAAGTATGAACGCACAGCCTTAGGGTCCGTGAATCTTCAGGTTCTGGCAGTCACGTGAATCTTTCAGGGCAGAACGCCGTGGGGCAGCTTTTGCGTTGCGTGCGATTGAGCATCGTTGGGTTAAGGCGCTTTCGAGCAAGAAGTCACACGCGACGTCGTGTTCTTCTCGGCGCACATCTGCAGCGATTCGACAGGTCTGCTGAACGTGGGAACCTGTAGAGACGCAGAAACGGCAAGATAGTCTGCGTCAACTTGAGAATGGAGTAGAGTGAAAGTGATGAATATTGTTAGTTCCACGTTGTGGCGTGGGCGGCACAGGAAGGTTCCAGGCGAAACTACTTCCGCATCAAGACCAAATCGATTAATGCAGCAAACTGGTATAAAGTTATTAAAGTGAAAGATGTCCTGATAGTTTGCACTCGATTTTGCTACGTGGAAAAATGATCTGATCCAAAAAAAACAAAAAAAAAAAAAAAAAACGAAAGAAACTGGCAAGGGAGTGTCCGCTTCGATTCATTTGCGACTGCAAAAGTGGCTCGACGTGACGTGGTGACTTCTGCTGCACCTTCGCGGTGGGAGAGGGGCAGTACCTCCAGGAACGGAGGCTGAAATCTTCACCGTTTGGTCACAGCCATCGCCACAAACTTTCAAAGCGGATATGGCCATATTAGCCAGGTGTTTTTCTTGAGAAACTGATCCTATTTTCCAATCCTGGCTTCATTTTCCTGACGATAGTTAGTTGCGAGCGTTTTTGCAGAAATTTCTGAGTGTGTAAGGTTACTTCCGAATCGCTGGGAGAATGACGAAAGATGCGTCGCCAGAGGAGCTGTGTGCACTAGGGCCCAGTCGGCTTCAACGTGTAGCGCTCTGCGGGTGTCGGCCTTTGTTTATGTCTCTCGAGTAGATTAGATCTCTTTGTGTCTGTGTCTCTCACGTCAACTAGATAGGAAAATGGGCGACGGCGCTTGTCTGGAGTAACGCCGAACATTCGCATTCACAGCTGCCTGTTCAATCATTTGAGCTTTACTGTCACGCGCTGTAGTCACTTCTTTTAGCTGGATCATCCCTACTGCAGAGAATCTAAAAACCCTTTTCATTTTGACATTTTCTATCTCCACACGTACCTGCAGGATAAGCTGCAGGGACTAAACGGTCGCCATTCAGATTAAAATGGAGTCCACCACAAGATCTACACCAATGGACCTTGTAGTGTCGAGAGCAGCTCCTATTCCATCATGCTTAACCTACGCAGTCGGGTCAGGCCGCTCTGACACAGCTCCAGAGGGGTGTAGGACTTTCTTAAAAGATCTCACGTCTGCACTTCAGTTCGGTTAAATGTGTTTTGACATTTTAAATTTATGAAAACATCTTTTTTCTGACATTTCCTACGTTTACTTTTATTTTTTCCTTCTACTTTCCATGTTCAGTTTGGCTCAGTTGTGTCTGTAGACGAGAGGTCAGGAGTTAGTGAGAGAGCAATTAAGTCAGGCAACCAGGCGAGTCTCCCCAAGAGGCATGATAGGTGTGAAATGAGATCTTTTAAGAACACCACACACCCCTCCAGAGCAGCCTGACCCGATGAGGTGAGGTGGATAGGTACTGAGAAGTGGATCTGGACTAAGGCGAGCGCTTGCCCTTGCACGCCTGAGGTGTTGCCGCGGTGCAATGTTGCCATGCGATGGAGACACGAACCTGCTTCTCATGCTTGTTTGGCCGCGTGGGTTCGCTGCCACAGTAGAACTCATTGAAGTCGGTAACTCTACCTAGAAACACAGGTATGCGCTGCATGTCGCAGAGATGGGAAGTCCACGGCCGCGTGCTCCATTTAAACGTGGTGGCAACTGCGTTTTCGGAGGGATGTTGCGCATCAGAACGCCGCAAACATGACTTTGTCCATTCAAGACAGGACAACACTCGTACCGAATAAAAATACCCCACGACCAAGCATCTCACGCCGTGCTCATAAGCACGCCCACTCCATCGCTGGGATAAAAAGTGCATACGATGTTTAGCTACCGTGAAGAGATCCGCCGTAGTAGATATGGAGCTGTTCAGTCGAGTATCTAGTAAAACAGAGAAACGCATTTGTTTGCCTTACATACAGACCACAGAGCCATATGTACTCTCAACTTAAGATATTTACTTTTTAGCAGATAACACTAGGGAAAACGCAACTTCTCGACGAGTCCAAGGCAAATGTGGGGGATCGCTCGAA